TGGTTCGACCGTAGAGCGGCAGGACGAGTACGGGACACGAAGCAAAAAAACGGGACAAACGCACGGAGCGACTCCTCAGACCCCCGGGGGTCGCGCCCTACCGGTGGGGTGCGTCCCAGGAGCCGCGGGGCCCGGAACTGACGCGCCTGGGGGGGTCGATTTCAAATCGAGCCACCCCTCGATGGTGAATCTACCGGTCTCGATCCCAAGAAACATATTAGTTGCGACTCTCGAGGCCGGCTCTTCCACTTTAGCCGACCCGATTCGCCGAAAATATGCCTATTTTACGGCCGCTCGATGCCCAGGCCTCGAAACAAAGAATACCGTGGCGGCTTTCCGGGCACTTCTGGTGCCAAAATCCTATGGCTAGATGGCATCACGGACAGCCCCATCGAGGGAACCAACCTCCTAGAGCCCACGGTCGAAGCCTCTCGACTCAAAACTGCCGCCGTAGGGCCGGTTCCGTGCCTCGAGATCCGCCTCGTACTCGATTCGGGGCCCCGCCGGCCCGTAGGTGGTCGAGATTCCTGTGTTATTTGGTGCGGCTAGTCGCCCACGCCCCCGGGGGGCTTCGATCCGCCGAGAGAACGAGAAGAGACGACTCAAAACGACCGACGTGGCATCGGCTCGGAGCCCGGAGCAGAGGGGGCCGACCACCAGGCATACACCAGCCCCGGCATACACCGGCATAGCGGCCGCATAGCGGCCGCATAGCGGCCGCATAGCAGGCGCATAGCCGGCGCATAGCCGGCGCATAGCAGGCGCATAGCAAACGCATAGCAGGCGCATAGCAGGCGCATAGCAGGCGCATAGCAGGCGCATAGCAGGCGCATACCACCAGCATAGCAGCCGCATACCACCCGCATACAACCCGCATACAACCCGCATACAACCTGCATACCACCCGCATACCACCCGCATACCACCCGCATACAACCCGCATACGACCAGCATAAAACCCGCATAAAACCCGCATACCACCCGCATACCACCCGCATAAAACCCGCATAGTAGGCGCATACTACCAGGCATACCGGCGGTCAACCCCCTCGGGCCCGGAGATACGGCCCGTTCGCGAGTACGGGCCCCGCGCGGCCTCGGGCCGAGGTAGGCCGCCGGGTAAGTCGTCGAGTCCGAAAGTAACCCGTCAGGCAAGTCGTTTGGCCGATTGTAAGTCGTAAGTAACGGGTTAGGTAAGCCGTTACGTCGGACCCTTGCTGCGCTTCTAGGATCGTGTCAGCCCCCTTCGAAGACCATCACTTCACGCTCGAGGAGGTTCGACGCAAGCGATCGTTGTTAACACGATCGGTTTGATGTATGGTTCATATTTGGCTAGTCATATAATGGGCCTTAGCCCGTGGAGAAGTGGATGAATTTGGCCGCTCGACTAGAGGAACTGACACCTGCGAGCTCGCAACGAAGAGCGTCGTTCATTGCGACCTCCGCATACGGTGATGTATTGGCGTTGAGTCAAAACAACGTCTTACATTATACGCATTCATCATTGCGTGATCTTCGACCAATCCTTGTCGATGGCAATGCGTTTAAGCTCGCTACGTTGACAACAATTCGTTTCAATGCTAGTGCGGAGGCGGTTCTTGTCGCCGGCCCGAATATATTATGCACTGCGGGTTTCCTGAGTTGGACCCAGACGTTGCAGCGAAAAATTACAATTTCTTCGCCAGGTCTTGCCACCACCACGTGGAAGGGATGGGGCGCTGTGCCGCAGAGCCGCATGGAACAGCTCGGTGCTTATCGATCAAGCTTGCAGTGTTAACAGTAGTCTCGTTGATGCGATATTTCCAGCACAATTTGATGATTACATCTGCACACTGGATGCCAACGGCGTGTTGTGCTTCTGGGATGTTGGGAGCAGCAAGGCAACAACTATCATAACCAGGATTCAATGTGCAAGGGCCTTTTGCTTTGGGTCTGCACGGTGAGGATAGGGCAGCGTGCATTTTAAGTAATAATGTGCTTGATGTCAAGCTGTGAATAGGTGGGGACGATTCAATATCTTTGCCGTAACATCAAATCACCTCGCGACTATATGCCCAGTAGCGCCGAGACGATGTTGCATATCACGATCTGAAGTAACAAAGCTGCGCCGCGCCTGCACTGGCACCTTCAAGAGCGGGGATCATGCATTGGCAGCGATAAAATGGCTGGATACTACTTTTCCGAAAATATGTAATAATGAAGTCAAATTCAATGAGAAGGCCGCCTGGGTTGCAGCAGACGAGCACCGATATATGGGGGGAGGTGTGTTGTCTTGCGGGTTGGCACCAATAGAAGCACATCTCGGTGCTCCTATTGAGATTTGTGCCCTCGAAGCACCTGCTAATGTCCTTATCCTAGCCACAGAAAACGGCCGTGTGCACGTGATTCTCGTCGAAGAAGAGAACTTGAGCCCTGTGTGGTCGAGTGCACCAGCATCCCTGAAGCTGCACATAGTGGAATCTTTGGTCATGCTCGATGTTGAAGATAGAATCTTTCCGCGTCTTGAGGTTCGCAATAGCGAGATTTACTATGTTCACAATTTTGGCGTCGCAAGCATCAACGTGTGCTGGCCCCGACACCTGCGTACACGCGTCAATGGTGGATTTAATTTAAACACCTTGGTGGCCAAGCAGCCGAGCCTGTGCCGCCACGTTGTGCTAGCATCGGACACAGTTTCCAGGATGGTCGGAGCAGCTATTCATAGGAATTCCGCTTTTGGCTCCCACACATTGCTATGTCTCTAGCTGTGTGGAACATCACGCATGAATTTATCACGTCTGTTCTCCCTAAGGTTGGTTTGGTGATGGTTCTTGTAGCGCTTTTGATATGGCCGCCTACCGATTTGCACAGACTCAGCTCAGCAGTTTCGAAGAAATGAAGCCAGGAGTTCTTGATCTTCACCTCACGAGCGAATTTTCAAACGAGTTGGACTGCAGTCGTGAGGTGTTACACAGAACCTCGATGCAGAGATGTGTTGCAACCTCAATCCATGATGCGCTCAGTGAGCTTAATACCACGTGTGAAGCAATAGAGAAGGATGCAATACTGAGGTTTCGTCATCTTGCGCGCTGCTCAAATGCGATGACCGCTGTTCTCAAAATGGTTCAAATAACACTCAATCGCCAGTTGAGGGCAAACCGGATAACCCTGGTTGCGATCAAGCGGCGCAAGGTACTTTGATGATTCATGCCACCATGTTTTTGTGTCAGGCAAACAACGCCCTCAGCAAAGCGATGAAAACCACGGTCGTTCAGACCAACATTCGTCAAATGCGCCTGCGTGATCGTGCAGCCATGCTTATTGATGTCGCAACAGAGCTCCGACCACGTCTCTCTCTTGCAGAGAAACACTATTTCAACAATCTGAAGGCACTCAATACTCAAACTAGGCAGGCTTGCATGCACCTTGACGCTAGGTGCCGTGGGACTTCGCACGAATCTCTCTTTCCAGAATTGAAAGACTGCCAACTTGAATTGGCAGGCGAGCTTCTCGTTGGTCAGACAAAGATTCTCTTGGTTGCTGAAACTATGATATCCGATATTGAAATATACTCAAGGGAATTACCGCGGGATCGCTAGTATCCTAGCTTTCTTTAGATTTCTTGGGCTTGTCCTTTGTAGTTGGCATTTCCGCTTTTGTGTCGATCCAATCGGCCTCTGACTTTCGCTTTACTCTGTGACAGTCGGGGGCGACTGCCGATGCCCGCTGGCGAGTTCGATTTAGGGTGACTCCAGGGTGGCCCCTACATCAGGCCCTACACGCCGGCTCTATGTAGACGAAGCAGTGGTTGGACACGGGAAACCCAACGAGGCTGAGTTTGCGGCTTGCCCCCCTCCCTAGCCACCCTTAAGGGCCCCGGGTCTGGCGCCATCCCTGTCCGGGGAGCCCGTAGGGCCCGTGGGGCGGCGGCGGGTGCGAAGCGGGGTTGAGTGGGGCCTCTTCCGGGCCGCCGCGCGCGGCGGCTCATACTGAGCCTACTGAGTCGGCTCAGTCTCAGTATTGGGGCGGCTGCGGGTCGCTGGATTTCCCGGGGAGGATCGAGACAACAACCACAGTTAGCCTACCCTAGGAGGCGTGGCGGACGGAGGCGTCCATATTCGGGGTCACAGTGGCTGGGGCTGCCTTGTCGGGGGCGGGGCCGCGGTCGTACTCAGGTCGAACTGAGTCGGGACTGAGTAGTTTCAGTCAGAGTCGTCGTCGGCGGGGCCGTTCAGCCTATGCCGTGATCTTCGCATTTCTGGAGGACGTAGCGTCGCTCCTATTCGGTTCCACGCCACGAGTGGAGGTTCCGCACTATGCTGTTGGCATCGACGCCGTGGAAGCTGTTGCGTGACGATGTGAACTCTGCCCAGTTGTTTCCCAGTTTGTCTCCGAGTTTCGCAACGACCGCGTCTACTTCTTGCATGCGCGCTCTGCTTCCTGCGGTGATTTCTTGGGTTCCTCCGAAGTTCAGTGCTTCTTCGATCCTTTCCTTCGCTGGCAGGAGCACGTTTTTGTGCAGAGCTGCTTGCCGTACTAGGTTTCGGCAGTTCTCCACCCCATTTCCCTCCTTTTCCCTATCACACGGGGTCCGGGCCCGGGGTATGGTGACGTGGGCGGCAACCACGTCCCGCTGATGTGACACCAGGGGCGGTCTTGATCGACATCGAAACCGATGATAGCCACGACGGCCCCACCCCGAGTCACATTCCAGTTGCCAGTGCGCAAACTTGCGCGTCGCCCTGTCGCCCCGCCCGCTTGGGCGGGGGTGCGAAGCCCGAACCTCGGAGTGGGCGGTTATGGCTGGGCTCTTGTTGTCGTCTCGCGTCGATTCGGGAAGGGGGCGGGGTTAGCGGCCGGTGTGGTCCGGGGGGGCGGCGATGGTGTAGGCGTCGGCGCGGGAGGCGGCGCGGGGCGGGGCCCGGCTGAGACGCGAGGCGGGGCCCGGCGACGTCACGTCG